CTCCAGTTGAACCAGCACCATTTGTTGAAAATGCTGTCCTTTTTCCACTGGACAGTTTTAGCTCCTTTGTCAAAGATCAAGTGACCATAGGAGTGTGTGTTCATTTCTGGGTCTTCAATTCTATTCCATTGATCTTCCTGCCTGTCTCTGTACCAATACCAGGTAGTTTTTATCACTATTGCTCTGTAGTACAGCTTGAGGTCAGGGATGGTGATTCCTCCAGAAGTTCTTTTATTGTTGAGAATAGTTTTCGCTATCCTGGGTTTTTTGTTATTCCATATGAATTTGAGAATTTCCTTTTCTAACTCTGTGAAGAATTGAGTTGGGATTTTAATGGGGATTGCATTGAATCTGTAGATTGCTTTTGGCAAGATGGCCATTTTTATTATATTAATCCTGCCAATCCATGAGCATTGGAGATCTTTCCATCTTCTGAGATCTTCTTCGATTTTTTTCTTCAGGGACTTGAAGTTCTTGTCATACAGGTCTTTCACTTGCTTGGTTAGATTCACACCAAGGTATTTCATATTATTTGCAACTATTGTGAAGGGTGTCATTTCCCTAATTTCTTTTTCAGTCTGTTTATCTTTCATGTAGAGGAAGGCTACTGATTTGTTTGAGTTGATTTTATAACCAGCCACTTTGCTGAAGTTGTTTATCAGGTTTAGGAGTTCTCTGGTGGAAGTTTGGGGGTCACTTAAGTATACTATCATATCATCTGCAAATAGCGATATTTTGACTTCTTCCTTCCTATTTGTATCCCTTTGACTTCTTTTTGTTGTCTAATTGCTCTGGCTAGGACTTCCAGTACTATATTGAATAGGTAGGGGGAGAGTGGGCAGCCTTGTCTAGTCCCTGATCTTAGTGGGATTGCCTCAAGTTTCTCTCCATTTAGCTTGATGTTGGCTACTGGTTTGCTGTAAATTGCTTTTACTATGTTTAGGTATGGGCCTTGAATTCCTGATCTTTCCAAGACTTTTATCATGAAGGGATGTTGAATTTTATCAAATGCTTTCTCAGCATCTAGTGAGATGATCATGTGGTTTTTTTCTTTGAGTTTGTTTATATAGTGGATTACATTAATGGATTTCCGAATATTGAACCATCCCTGCATTCCTGGGATAAAACCTACTTGATCATGATGGATGATTGTTTTGATGTGTTCTTGGATTCGGTTTGCTAGAATTTTATTGAGTATTTTTGCATCGATGTTCATAAGGGAGATTGGTCTGAAGTTCTCTTTCTTTGTCGGGTCTTTGTGGGGTTTGGGTATGAGTGTAATTGTAGCTTCATAGAACGAATTGGGTAGTGTTCCTTCTGTTTCTATTTTGTGGAATAGTTTGAAGAGAATTGGTATTAGGTCTTCCTTGAAGGTCTGATAGAATTCAGTACTAAAACCATCTGGTCCTGGGCTTTTTTTTTTTTTTTTTGGTTTGGAGACTTTTAGTGACTGCTGCTATTTCCTTAGGGGTTATGGGACTGTTTAGATGGTTTATCTGCTCCTGATTTAACTTTGGTACCTGGTATCTGTCTAGGAAGTTGTCCATTTCATCCAGGTTTTCCAGTTTTGTTGAGTATAGGCCTTTGTAGTAGGATGTGATGGTTTTTTGAATTTCTTCAGTTTCTGTTGTTATGTCTCCCTTTTCAGTTCTGATTTTATTAATTTGGATACTGTCTCTGTGCCCTCTGGTTAATCTGGCTAAGGGTTTATCTATCTTGTTGATTTTCTCAAAGAACCAGCTCCTGGTTTTGTTGATATTTTGTATTGTTCTTTCTGTTTCTCTTTGGTTAATTTCAGCCCTGAGTTTGATTATTTCCTGCCTTCTACTCCTACTGGGTGTATTTGCTTCTTTTTGTTCTAGAGCTTTTAGTTGTGCAGTCAAGTTGTTAGTGTGTGCTCTTTCCAGTTTCTTTTTGTAGGCACTTAGAGCTATGAGTTTTCCTCTTAGCACTGCCTTCATGGAGTCCCACAAGTTTTGGTATGATGTGTCCTCATTTTCATTGAATTCTAAAAAGTCTTTAATTTCTTTCTTTATTTCTTCCTTGACCAAGTCATCATTGAGTAGAAAGTTGTTCAGTTTCCATGTGTATGTGGGTTTTCCATTGGTTTTGTCATTATTAAAGACCAGTCTTAGTCCGTGGTGATCTGATAAGATGCAAGGGATTATTTCAATCTTTTTGTATCTGTAGAGGCCTGTTTTGTGACCAATTATATGGTCTATTTTGGAGAAGGTACCATGAGGTGCTGAGAAAAAGGTATATTCTTTTGTTTTAGGATGAAATGTTCTATAGATGTCTGTTAAGTCCATTTGGTTCATAACTTCTGTTAATTTCAAAGTGTCTCGGTTTAGATTCTGTTTCCATGATCTGTCCATTGCTGAGAGTGGGGTGTTGAAATCCCCCACTATTATTGTGTGAGGTGTAATGTGTGTTTTGAGCTTTAGTAAAGTTCTTTTATGTATGTAGGTGCCCTTGCATTTGGAGCATAGATGTTCAGAATTGAGAGTTCACCTTGGTAGATTTTTCCTTTGATGAGTATGAAGTGTCCTTCCTTATCTTTTTTGATTAATTTTGGATGAAAGTCGATTTTATTTGATATTAGAATGGCTACTCCAGCTTGTTTCTTGGGACCATTGGCTTGGAAAATTGTTTTCCACCCTTTTATTCTGAGATAGTGTCTGTGTTTGTCACTCAGGTACATTTCTTGTATGCAGCAAAATTCTGGGTCCTGTTTGTGTATCCAATCTGATAGTCTGCGTCTTTTTATTGAGGAATTGAGACTATTGATGTTAAGAGATATTAAGGAAAAATGATTGTGGCTTCCTGTTATTTTTGTTACTAGAGGTAGAATTATGTTTGTATAGTTATCTTCTTTTGGGGTTGTTGGAAGATTACTTCCTTGCTTTTTCTAGGTTGTAGTTTCCCTCCTCGTGTTGGTGTTTTCCATCAGTTATCCTTTGAAGTGCTGGGTTTGTGGGAAGATATTGTGCAAATTTGGTTTTGTCATGGAATATCTTGGTTTCACCATCTATAGTGATTGAGAGTTTTGCTGGGTATAGTAGTCTGGGCTGGCAATTGTGTTCTCTTAGGGTCTGTATGATGTCAGTCCAGGCTCTTCTGGCTTTTATAGTCTCTGGTGAGAAGTCTGGTGTAATTCTTTTAGGTCTGCCTTTATATGTTACTTGACCTTTTTCCCTTACTGCTTTTAGTATTCTTTGTTTTGTGCATCTGATGTTTTGATTATTATGTGACGGGAGGTATTTCTTTTCTGGTCTAGTCTATTTGGTGTTCTGTAGGCTTCTTGTATGTTTATGGGCATCTTGTTCTTTAGGTTAGGGAAGTTTTCCTCAATAATTTTGTTGAAGATATTTACTGACCCTTTAAGTTGGGAATCTTCATTCTCATCTATACCTATTATCCTTAGGTTTGGTCTTCTCATTGTGTCCTGGATTTCCTGGATGTTTTGGGTTAGGAGTTTTTTGCATTTTGCATTTTGCATTTTCTTTGACAACTGTGTCAATATTTTCAATAGTATCTTCTGCATTTGAGATTCTCTCTTCTATCTCTTGTATTCGGTTGGTGATGCTTGCGTCTATGACTCCTGATCTCTTTCTTAGGTTTTCTATCTCCATGGTTGTCTCCCTTTGAGATTTCTTTATTGTTTCTATTTCCATTTTCAGATCCTGGATGTTTTTGTTTAATTCCTTCTTTGTGTTTTCTTGCAGTTCTTTAAGGGATTTCTGTGATTGCTCTTTAAGGGCTTCTACATGTTTACTTGTACTCTCCTGTATTTCTTTAAGGGAGTTACTTATGTCTTTCTGATAATCCTCCATCATCATCATGAGAAGTGATTTTAATTCTGAATCCTGCTTTTCCTGTGTGATGGGGTGTCCAGGGCTTGCTATATTGGGAGAACTGGGTTCTGATGATATCAGGTAACTTTGGTTTCTGTTGCTTATGTCCTTGTGCTTGCCTTTCACCATCTGGTTAACTCTAGTGTTACCTGCCCTCACTGTGTAAGACTGGAGTCTGTATTTCCAGTTATCTTGCTTGTGGCAGAGCTCCTCAGAGTCCAGATGTCTCTGTGGTCTTATGATCCTAATCTCCTGGGTAGAAGAACTCCTGGGACTCAGGCCACCTCTTGGATCTGGAAATCCTTCTGCTCTGGGTGCAGTTGTTCCTCTAGGATGGCTCAAGATATGATGTCTCCCAAGTGCAAACCAGCTCGGTGTCTGCTGCTCTGAGTGCAGTGGCTCCTCTAGAATGGCTCTGGATTCAGTATCTCCACAGGGGCAGACCAACTCTGTTTCTACTCCAGCCCAAAAGGCCCAGCCATACTTTAAAATTGTTAATATAACCATAAAATTTTAACAAATTAAGACCATTCTATGGTTTTCTATGCTATGACAACAGAAACTTCTTTTCCTTGAATATGTCCTGTTGATTTATATCACTATACTTGGTTATGGTTTGTCTCTAGGGTCCTTTTTCCATGCTTCAAACTCATTCCATTTCAATTCTTGTTCATTATTTAAGACTAAGCAAAGCTGTTCCCTTTCTCACTCAAATATTTCTTTTTTGTTTTTTATGGACCTTACCAGAACTTTTGTACAACTTTATTTTTCATTCAAATGTTATTAGTACTAGCTTCATCTCTTCTTACTAGATTATGAGCATTTTCAAAACAGAGACCACATCTTGTTTATGTCTATATTCCCATGTCTTCCCTGGCATATATATCCCTTAATACATATTATACATCTTTGAAATAAATGTGTAGTAACATACTTAAGAATAAAAATTTACAACTTTCTATGAAGGAAAAACAATTAAGAAATGCTATTTCTTTCTTCATTAAAATTACCAAAGTGGGTTTAGTAATCATTTCTGATATAATATATAGCATTTCAATATTAGTAATCATTTCTGATATAATATATAGCATTTCAATATATTCTCTTTTATCCACTGAACAGAAGAATTTGCTTTGCTTTCTTTAGCATTCAAGTATTTCATTGTCTTAAGCATGAAGGAACAGGTGGCCGAACACTGTTAGTGGATGGATTCTATGCAGCACAACAATTACTTCAAAAAGCACCTGAGGAATTTGAACTCCTTAGCAAAGTACCATTGAAGCATGAATATATTGAAAATGTTGGACAATGTCACAATCACATGATTGGGGTTGGGCCCATCTTAAATATCTATCCATGGAATAAGGAGCTATATTTGATCAGGTGAGTACTAAACAACTATTCTCCCATGTGATATATTTATTATATATCGAGCTCTTGACTAGTGTACCCAGCTATCTCCTGGAATCATCATTTGGCTGTCTTATAGAATATACAGTGTATCATATTCAAAATCTAGCTCATGGGCTCCACTCACTTTAAGCTCACCTCACTATATATTTGCTATTCTTTTATTGAATGATATATCCACTGAATTGCCCAAGCAAAAGACCGAAAGCTACCTTCAACTTGTTCATATCCCTCATATTCTACAACCAATCTAACCAGGTTTACCTCCTGATTTTTCTCAAAGTACCCAGTGCTTCCTCTCAGCAATGCCACTTTCTGTGTGAGACCATTATCATTGATTTCACCCTTTACCCACCTTTTATCCATTTTGTATGTTGTAGCTAGAGAAATCTTTTAAATTTGTATTTATTATGTGTGTGTGTTTATGTGTGAGGAAATATATATATACCCACTGCACATGTGTGAAGGTCACAGGAACACTTTTCAAGGGTTGGTTTTCTCAGCATTGGATCAAAATCAGACCAGACATGCCTTTAATCTCAGAATTCAGGATGCAGAGGCAGGGGGATCTCAGAGTTCTGAGGCCAGCCTGGTCTACAAAGTGAGTTCCAGGACAGTCAGTGATGTTACACAGAGAAACTCTGTCTTGAAAAACAAGTAAACAAAACACCAACAACTTTTAAAAAATTCTGCATCCACTTAATATCTTCTTAAAAACTCAAGTTATTCTTATAACATATACAATTCCACATAGCCTGACCCCTTCTTACTGTTGTAGCTTCAGCTCACACAACTCATGTTTTCTATACAGATTCTGCCTGAGAAAAACTGCATTACTTTATGTTTAAGTTATTTTCCATGATGCAACCAATATTTTTATATTATTTTACTTCCACTTAAGCTAAGTTCTACAGAGCATTGTTCTTCCACAAAAAACTTGTTGAGTATCTACAAAGACATAGGCACTGTTTTTTATTCCAGAGACATAATTGTGAAAACATTATGGCTGTCATAGAATCTTCATTCTAATAAGAAGGGCTATTTTATTTTTAAAAACCAAATATATGGTATATCAAATGATACTAAGTATTAAGTGAAAGTAAGGAAGAAAGCTGCAAAAAGTTAACTTGAAAGTACTACAGAAAAAATCAAATCCTTACTATTAATCAATGATTTATGGCCTTGACCAAGTCAGCCTATTTATCACGAGTTTCTGAGTTTCAATAATAATATTTACCATACCTATTGTTAAAAGTAAGTTACTATCTCTGTTCTTTACCCTCAAAGGTAGAAGGAATTATATCAATAGTGATTCACTTTTCTTGGATATGTTCTGCAAAGAAACACTCCTTCAGTCATCTCTTATATACCCACCACATAAAAATAAGAAGTATGTCCAACATTTTACTATGAACACCTTAGCAAATGGAAAAATAAAAAATCATTTAATGTGGGAAAGCCTCACCCTGAAACCTACATCACACCATTAAATTTTTGCTAAATTCTTGTTTTATCATGGAACCCTCCATTTTTCTGTCTATCTTTCTTTTTTTCTTTCTTTTTTTCTTTTTTCTGTCCATCTTTCATGGTTAGTTTTTATGTCAATTTGATACAAGCTAGAAGACATCTAGGAAGAGGGACTTTAATTAAAATGCTTCCATAAGATTGGCCCGTGGGCAAGCCTGAGGGCATTTTCTTAATTGTGATTGATGGGGGAGGGCCTAGCCAATTGTAGGTAGTTCCATCCCTGAAAGCAGGCTAAGCAATCCATAAGGAACAAGCCAGTAACTGGCACTCCACCATGGCCTCTGCTTCAGCTCCTGCCCCTAGGTTATTGCCCTGTTTGAGTTCCTGTCCTAACTTTCTTTGATGATAAGCTGTGATGTAGAAACTAGAGCTAAATGAACCCTTTCTTTTACAAGTTGTCTTGGTCATCTTTCACCACAGCAATAGAAACCCTAACTAAGGCACCATCTATCCACCTATCAGTTAATCATATTTTTTGAAATATTTTAAAGTATGTTGTAGATACACACATATTTCTCACTAAAATACTTGAATTTCCATATAAAATTGAGTTCAATATGGTTTTATGTATTTTTTGTTTTTAAGTAGAAAGTACATATAGTGATGTTTTTAAATGTTAAAGTTGTGGCTTGAGGATGTTTGGACCAGGGTGTGGCACTATTAGGAGGTGTGGCCTTGTTGGAGTAGGTGTGGCCTTGTTGGAGGAAATGGGTTTTGAGACCCTTCTCCTAGCTACCTGGAAGTCAGTCTTCTCCTGGCTGCCTTTGGATTAAGATGTAGAATTCTCAACTTGTTCTCCACTCCCATGCCTGCTTGTATGCTGCTATGCTTCCTGCTTTGATGATAACAAACTAAATCTCTGAAACTATAAGCCAATCCCAATTAATTGTTGTCCTTTATAAGAATTGCCTTTGTCATGCTGTCTCTTCGCAGCAATAAAATTCAAACTAAGGCACTTATACAGGTATGAGAAATAAATATATTTCTGTGACATGAATCTATATCAATATATAAATATCATTATTCTCAATAGAGTAAGTACTTTTCTATTTTCCAATCAAACCCTGCATATGTACCCCCAAACGAAACTACTTTTTGTTTGTTTGTTTGTTTGTTTGTTTCTCTCTCTTTCTTCCTTCCTTTCTTTCTTCCTTCCTTTCTTTCTTTCAAAAAAAAACTGCAAGTTGTTTCTAGTTTGGTTTCATTATGATTGAAATTGCCATAAAAATTCCAATGAAAGCACTTTTGTGAATATATATTTTCATTTCTATCAAATACCTAGGGATGTGTATCAATTACTTTTCTCACTGCTATGACAAAATTCCTAACAAAAGCAAGTCAGAGAAGGAAGGGTTTACTCTGATTCATAGTTTTAGAGTTATATACTTGGTAGCAGGTTACAACAGACAGTCAGGGATCAGAGAGATATGAATGCTGGTGCTCAGCTCACTTTCTCCCTGGTATTTAATCCAGGACTCTGGCCCATGGAATGGTGGCACCCACATTTAGAGAGGGGACTCTTTATTCAGTTATGCCTCTCTGGAAATGCCCTCAGAGACTTGACCAGAGGGTTTTGTGTCTTAGGTGATTCTAGATTCTGTCAAGTTGACAATTAAGATTAATTATCACAGAATAGAACTAATATGTTACAGAGTTCAGGAATGTTTAGTTTCAGTAAATAACATATTTCACCAAACTAGTTTTACCATTTTTATACCTTCATTAAGAATGGATGAAAGTTGCATCTGCTCCAAGTTCTTGCCAGTACTTGGTGCTGTTGGTTGTATTAATTTTAGTTACTGTCATAGATACTTTTTTTGTATGGCCTTATGAGCAAGTGTTTACAGGAATTTAATAATTCTTTCTCCATGATGTTATCAACAACAAGTAAAATATTAGAGAAATCCAATTACCTAAAATAGTAAGCTGTGACAAATTTACTCTTTCCAAGTTTCAATTGCCTTATGTGTAAAAGGAGGCTAATAACAGTTTTCCTTCTCAGATCGTAAAATAAGCCAATGGAATAGTATTTATATAGCTACTGAATATATAGAACCAGAAGTCTCTAGAAATGACATTCAATACTGCTTCCTCACTGTCTTCTTTATATGAACATGGCTCCTAAAAGCTTGAGAGAAAGCTTTTCATTCATTATGCTCTTTCATTTGATTCTCTGATAGTAGTCCTGTGAGGCCTACTAAGCTGATGTTTGTTTCACATATGAGAAAAAAGAATACTGGTTCTGATTATGTTGTATACCAAACTCAACAAATGTCATCTGATATCTTGAAGAGAAAAATTGTTTACATTGGCAATATCTACTAAAATTTTACAATATACATACCTTACAATCCAGAAATTCTATCCTTAAGTTTATACCAAGCAAAATGAATACATACATTTACCAAGATATGTAATAGAATGTTCATGGAAGCACTACTTATAAAATAGTCCCAAAATGAAAACTACTCAAATGTTCAGTAACAGTACAATGAATAAATTAGGGAATGATCATACAATTATGTTCCATACAACACCATTAATGAGAAACTACTACTAAATGATGAATTTCATAACTGCAATATTAAATGAAAGATGCCAGACACAAAAAGGAGATGCCATATGATTCCATTTATATAAAACTTTATATGAACATTTTTTAGTAACAGAAATAAGAATGATAATTAACCTTGTGTAGGAGAAGCAATGTGACTGAAAAGGGGCTCAAGAAAATGTTACAGTGTTCTAGCAACAATTGGTATATCTCATTGGTAGTAACATGAATGTCACCCCAACATGAAAATTCATCAAGATTTATTTATGTACTTTCCTACATATGTTATACTTCAGCAAAATTTAATTTCCCTTGTCCAAAATAGAAATATATTATGTTTTCTTTTAGACAGGGTACAACTATGTAGCCTTGCCTGGCCTCAAACTGAAAGAGTTCCACCTGCTTCTGTCTCTTTAGTGCTATGATTAGAGGTATGCATACCACACCTGGACAGAAAAAAAACATTATCTTAGTAAATATTTTTCAATGGTTTTCATAGTAAGCAGATCAAGTCCAAGGCTGCTTTATCATGCCCTCCGTGACTACACACACACAGACACACACACAAGAATATATACATATTCTTACCCCCTGGTTACTTCCTCTATTTCATTTCTTGAATCATAATTCTTCTTGATTACTCAACACAAGCCACATGGCCTGCTTCATGGTCTAGAAACATAATAAAGTGCTTTCTATCCCAATACTTTATATTTGCTATACTCTCTGGCTAGACTGTACTTCCTTCAGTTTGTCATATACTTGATTTCTATTCATATAGGCACCAGCTCCAGTGTCACTTCTCAAAAAAATCCTTCAGCATTCAAAAACAATGTTTAGTTACCCTTAAACACATGTCACTATATTTTCACACTGCATCTGTAACTCACTGAAACTATCTTATTTATGTATTTGTTGGATTTATATCTTTGCATCCTCAATAGTATATAAACTTCCAAAAAAGGCTCAGACCATGTTGCATTGCATAATTATTTCCTAATAAATTCCTTGACAATGGAGGTGCTCATGTAAGTACTAGTATTGAATGAATAACAGACTGAATGAAGACCTCTGAGTAAAACTCTTTACTAGGTTATATCTAGTATTTCTCACAAAGGAAGATATTTGTGCAATTATCTCATTCTGTATATTTTAAGGGTAGCTTTGTTTATACAACTTATATTGTCCTCCTTAGTTTAATGTAAAAAGTTCAAATCATCCCCTGATGTTTTCATTGCACTTTGATCAATACTTACTCCAGGAAACACACTTTAGATAAAACACCATATCCTAAACAAAACAGACAAACAAGAAAAGAAAAAAACCAACCATATCCTGAGATGGGAGAAATCAGCTGGAACTTAACTTTGACTCCCTGTCCCCAAAAGACTCCAAAGAAAACCAAAATGTGACAAGAAGATAGTGGAATTTCTATTCTCTGGTGCTGTATTCCTAAGAATAATTTGATTCATTGTCATTTCAAGTTTTGAACAAACAGTATATACAGAGAAAGCATTTCTAAAACAGTTCGATAAGCAGTCAGTGTCTTTATCATGTGTCTAAAATCTTTATTTCTCATGGTTCCATATAAGGTACAACAACTATGACAGGGCTGTCATCAACACTGTGCCTTATGATGTTGTCCATCGTTGGTATATAGCACACCGAACCCTAACAACTGAATTGAGAAGGCCTGAAAATGAGCTTTGGGTCAAACTGAAGCCTGGAAAGGTAGGTCCCAAACTCTATAAACATACATCAAGTAAGCTTGCCATACAAAATTGTTAAAGATTGAAACTTGTTTAATATGTGTCACCATGTTACAAAGGGAAAAGATTTTTCTTATTGTTCCTGGTCCTGCCAGTCATTCACTGATAATTGGGAGCAGGCACCACTTTATCTCATCAGACACACTTATTTTGATGATGAAGGGATTTAAGTAGGATCCTTCCAGCTTAATGATTCCATTTTTAAATCTTGATATTTCCTCTAACTACAGAATAGCTCCAGCTATTTAAGAAAGTAAAAACTGAGGATTGCAGATAAAGAAACCAGTTACGTGATTTACTTTGAAAAAAAGATAATTGCTTAAAGAATATTAGTTCCTTGGGTATACAAAGCTTATAAAAACTATTTTCTTTTTAATTGCTATGTAGCCTGCTACAAGGTTAGACAAATCTTATTTTTCCCTTTAATCTAGTTATCTTCAAAAGAAAAATGTTTTATCAGATGTAACCTATAGAACAATCTAAAGTTTTATCTTTCGGTGATCTCCTCTGATTTAGATTCCCTAAGATTTGCCCTTGTTCTGACTGTTTACTCTCTCTTTTTTTTTTTTTCATACATTCACAGGTACTATTTATAGACAACTGGCGAGTCCTTCATGGCAGGGAATCATTTACTGGCTACCGTCAACTTTGTGGCTGCTATTTAACTAGAGATGATGTATTGAATACTGCTCGTCTCCTGGGTCTTCATGCTTAAAATTGAAAGCACTAGGATTATGAATACACTTGGCACCATACTACCAGAATTTTATATCAACAGAACAATATTGTGTTAAAATTTGCTTCATATTATCTATTTCCCATTCTATAAAGCAGAAGCTTTTCCTTACTTTTCTAGGAGAAGCCTGTTAAAGAAAGGCTTCTGAGTTGTCTAATATCAGCCATCTAGTAGGGTGGATTTCTTCCAAAGTTATAATATGAGTCTAATAATTTCCTAATCTTTTTGATATAATTACTGTGCTTAAGAAATATAATCTCCATATTAAAAGGGAACCAATATTACACAATTTGTCTTCAGCTAAATCAGAATGCAATATATTCTAGAAATGACAAAATACTTCTAAAGCTACATTTGTAAAACGTTTTCAGGTTTTGTAATTGGATTGACTAAGAATATATGCTTACTTATATTTTGAATATATCCTATATCTTCTAGCACCTTCCAGTTTCAGAGGTTGATGGGATTTTTTTTTGATGACTGAATAGTATTCCATTGTGCCACAATTCAAGATTGATTCCATATTTTATCTACTAATGGTAATATATCAACAAACATGGGCCTGCAGATAATCTGTGATATACGGGTTTAATTTTCCTTTGATATGTAATATACCCAGAGAAAGCATATGGATAATACAGTAGTTTTATTTTTTTTTAACATTCTTGAAAGCTGTGTTCTGCTTCCCATAATAAATATATTAATTTACATTCCCATCAACAGTGAAATAAGCCTTTTTTCAGTGTACAGTCTTACTAACCTTTATACTTTTTGGTGTTCACTATTGCAATTATAGCTGGATCAAAACGATATCTCACTGTAGTCTGATTTGGCTTCTTCTGGAGGACTAGTGCTATTTTGAAACTTTTTGTCTGTTCCTTGCTAGCAGGTCCAGGTGAGAGGACAGAGGTCTTGGTCCCACAGGGCCTCTTCTCTGGGGCTGAATGGGATGGTGAGTGTTGACAGCCCAAAAGAAACACACTGGGCTAGGAGTCTTGTCTAAGCAGGAACTCAACTTTATTGCATCAGCCTCTCACTTATATAAACTGGGAGCATAGGGAAGGGGATTTTTGATGGGATGAGATGATGTAGGAGGCAGGGAAGGGTGACAGAGGGTATGGGGTGACTGACAGGGCCAATGGCAAAGCTTTACATCAGCGACAGTGAGGCAGAGGCAGGGCCAAACAGGTCTTGCTGAGTCACCCCAATACGGAAGTGATTGAGACAGGTCTCAAAACTCAAGCCAGGCTTAGGTTCTCCCACAAGGCCACAGAAAACTCTAACCAGGCTCAGGTTTGTCCTCAAGACCCAAACCAGGGCCAAAATGGGGCCCAACACTTTTCAGATACCTCTTGACAATTTTATGTGTTCCTTTGAGAAATGCTGTCTTAGAGTTTCATTGCTGTGAGGAGTCAACATGATCAAGACAGCCCTTATAAAGGAAAATATTTAATTGGAGCTGGCTTACAGTTTCAGAGGTTCAGTTCATTATCATCATGGCAAGAAGAATGGCAGCATCCAGGCAGACATGGTGTAGGAGGACCTGGGAGTTCTATATTTTGATCCACAGGCACCAAGGAGGAGACTGGATGTTTCACACTGGCTGTAGCTTGAGCATTTTAGACCTCAAAGCCCTGAGTCCACAGTGACAAACATCCTCTAACAAGGCCACACTTCCTCCAATAAGAGCACACCTCCTAGTAGCAATGCTACCTATAGCCAAGCATTTAAACACATGAACCTGTGGAAGCCAAACCTATACAAACCACCACAAATGCCATTCTAGAGTTCTTGACAGCTTTTAGTCAGTTGCTTATATTGTATTTTGGCTATGGAATTTTTGAAGTGCCCTATATATTTAACACAACATCATCATTTCAAATGTAGAGTTAACATTTTCTCTAATTTTGTAGTTTTAAATTTAGTCTGCTGAAACTCCTATATATTTTGCAATGTGAGAGCACTTTGCCATACTTAAAAGTTACCAAAGACCCTAAAGAGTATAGGTAAAATATACTAATACTAACTGTATTAGATACAAAAGAGCAAAAACAAAGTTTAAAAGCTATCAAGACAAAACACCAGTCAATTACTTATCAGATACATGCAATTATATTATGGCATGCCATCTGTGGCCTTTGTGTACTGGTGCAATAATGGAAATGAAAAACACAAATATCATCTTAGTATTGTTATAAAAATAGGTTTTAATCTCACAAGCCCATTAAAAATGTGCCCAGGAATCTCACCAAATGTATCTTTAGACAGAACTTTGACAGTCACTGGGTTAGAATCTTGGTTCTTGGGGTCAGTTCTTCAACTATGTCAGCACATTAAAAGGCTTAGCTGAGACCTGAAAGCTTTGTCTTATAGGAGAGTTTTCAGTCTCCTACAGGACATCTCCAGACACTGTTGATTGCTCAAGCTCAATAATAAAATAGAAATGAAATTCATATACGTTTTCTTATCCTGGAAGAGTTGTCTCCATCTAAATCGTTTCTCAAGAAATTAAATTAGTTTCGAAAATTGACTTAAAATTAAATTTCTTTTGAAATAAAATCATCATCAGTTTGGTATTTATGAGAGAAATATTTGCAGACAGAATAAAGGTTTCTGAGGTTCCATGTAATTCTTACACACACACACACCCCACCGAGAGTACAAAGGGTTACTGGGTTCTACTAGTCAGGGAACTAACTCATCATGATAGCTGATGTGCCTACAGAATACTTGATATTACTAGGCAAGCTTGTATTTTGACAATTAGATAGCATTTACAAATATAAATTCTGTTCCTCCATTTCTGTTGATCTTTTCATATTCTCCCTCTTAAAATATTATACACATTAATTGCAAAACTTTGACAGATAGAATTTAATGCTTTGTTTGCTTTATGCCTTCAGTGGTGGGGGCCATAGGCATATGATGATATTTTTAAAATATTTTATTCTTTGATCATTTCATAAATGTATATAATGTGATTTGATCATATTTACCTCCCACCTGTTATCCTTGCTTATCTCCCTCCCACTTCAGCCAAATCCCTTCTTGCCAACAAGTCCTCCCCTACTCTGATGTCTTCATTGTGACCCAGGAGATTAGAAAGAGAGTATTTGGCAGGATAACCAACACTAAATATATTCGGAAAACATATAGAAACCTCCTCCTGTAGAAGCTTCCTAAAACAAATCAAACCCAGTAACCCTTTGGACTTTCTGTGGTGTGGACCACAGCAAAACAGTACCTGTGGACACAACAAGGCCATTGCATGCAGAAATCATGTTGGTTGTCACTGTTTGTGCATGATCAAACCAGCCAAAAGTACCAGGATGGATGAGGGAGAAACTCATAAAGTCCCACCCATACCAGAAGAGTGGTTAGCTGAGGGAGGGAGAGACAGTTTTCTTTAGAAATATGGTCCCTGAGAGGCTAACCATGCCCCAGTAGATGGTACAATGCCCATACACTTACAGAAAATAGTAAGTAGACTCAGTGGGTTTAAAACAGCACAAAAAGATGTGAGTAGAAAGTATTGGGCAAGAGGAATTGGAAGACACAGAATGGGAGGTGGATTTGACCAAAACACATGTGTTTATGCTTTGTTTATGTTTGGCCCAGGGATTGGCACTAATTAGGAGGTGTAGCCTTGTTGGGATAGGTGTGCCACTGTGGGCATGTGCTTTGATACCCTTGTCCTAGCTGCCTGGAAGTCAGTATTCTGCTGGCAGTTTTCAAATGAAGATTTAGAACTCTCAGCTCCTCCTGCACCATGCCTGCCTGGTTGCTGCCATGCTCTCACCTTGATGATAATGGACTGAAACTCTGAACTTGTAAGCCAGCCTCAAATGTTGTCCTTATAAGAGATGCCTTGCTCATGATGCCTATAAACAGTAGTAAAACACTGAGACAGGTTGGTACCAGGGACTGGGGTATTCCTCTGATAGACCTGACTATGCATTTGTTTGGAAGAATGTGGATTTGGGGACTTTGGATTTGGAAGGCAGTGGAATGCTTTAAATGGGGCTTATTGGGCTATCCCAGGAGGAATTTGGAAGACTTTATTACTGAGAGTGATTTAAATTGTGCAGACCTGCCCAAGCGGTTTCAGTGGAAATTTTCAATATGTGGCCTAGAGATTGTTTTTGTGGTATTTTGGTGAAGAATGTGCCTACTTTTGCCCTAGTCTGAAGAGTCTGCCTGAGGCTCTTAGGTTGAAGGTTGAAGGTTCAGCTTGAGACAGAGCAAGTTCTAGGTAAAGAAAAGCTTAAATCCAGGCATGGTGACATACCTTTAATCCCAGGAGACAGGCATGCAGATCTCTGAGTTAAGATCAAAAGACTCAGATTAATTGCATTGAGAAAGGAAGTCTCAGAAACACTCATCATAGACTTTGTTCTCTGGTTAAGTCTCAGGAACAGCATTTTAAACAAGCATAGTTAGTTGAGAAATGATAATGATATAATATGTGTTTCAAGTTAAAGGAGTACTTGGAAGTGAAATGGAGCTGAATCCTGTGTTCAAGGAGATAACAAATTAAGGGAGAGGGACTATGGGGCAAGATCCTACCTAGCTAAATTTAGTTCTAGGCATAAACCTTTAATCCCAAGATATAAAGCCAAGCAGATCTCTGAGTTCAAAGTCAGCCTGAGACAGAGCAAGTTCTAGGTAAAGAAAAACTTAAATCCAGCCATGGTGACACACCTTTAATCCCAGGAGACAGGCATGCAGGTCTCTGAGTTAGGGTCAATCTAAAGAGCAAGTTCCAGGACAGCCAAGCTTAGGCAGTGAAGGAGTTGGAAAACAGAAACCTGCTGATAATGTAACAGGGCCATGTTCCAGCCTGAACAAGCAGCAGCTTTGGCCACGTGGCTCTGGCTTTAGAGTTCAGAATAGAAGGGACTACTGGGACAATTGATGCTGCTTAGCTGGAGCCAAGAAATTAGTGGTGATTAAGAAGAGACCAGCATCGCTGAGGTGAAATATTCTGGGAAGTATTTTCTGAGAACACGAAGAAGCTGTGTTCCAGAGATAGCCAAGGTTGTACCTCCTGCAACAGTTGTACTTGGTAATGTGTAAGAGTCACCCAGGTGGTACTGGTTTTGAAGGAGGCATGAAGGCCTCATGAAGAGCAAATGAGGCACGGCCCTGAGAGAGGCCATGGAAGGCCATTGGTGGAGGTGCAGCCCCAGTTGCAGTAGATGGCCCAGGACTGAAGGGGTCTTACGAAGGGGTTGAGGCTTGGAACCATGAAGAGAGCCTATGAGACGATATTGGTGAAGCCTAGTCATAGTGATAGACCCCATTGTATTGTAGATGCCAATACCATGGGATGACCACCAAGAACAGTAGCGGCAGTGGAGTGGATCAACCTAACCTAAGAGTGCTACAGACGGCAGAGCTGGAGAAGTGACACCAGCCCTTTGGAGGAGCCCAGAAGATGATGTGGAATCTTAGGCATTTTAACAAGAAGCTGTAACATTGAAGTTAGTTGCCTTGGAGAACCCAAGATATTCGAGATGCCAGAGCAGTGGGGCTATCTGCTGAGGAAAGCTGCTAACAGGGACTGGAACCAACCCAGGAGAAAGAAGTTTGTTTCAATCAACAAAGATGAAAAGGAGTTGGAGATCTGAAGGCTGCTTTGCCATCAGCCATAGAGATGCAGAGTTTGGAGTTTGTCCAGCTGGTTTCCTATCTTGCTTTGGGGATTAAATTGAAGTGAT